CATGTCACAAGGTTAAACTACGGAAAGAACACAAAACTAACGGCGTTGACTTCCATTTTTAGAATAAAAAGAAATGAACTATTTCATTCAAATTTACATTCATAGATCTACTTATCAAGACGTATGCTATGAAATGTATACAATTTTCTCGATCAAAACTAATACAAATTACTTTTAAAAAACCAACATGAGTAGCATTGAACAGCAGGGTTTTTAACGGAATTCTTTAAGTCTTTTAATCAGTTTGTGCATTTAATATAGCGTTGTGTTAACTAATAATATGTAGAATTTGGTTTTAATTTTTCTAATAGGTATTGGTAGTCTATGTTATTTTAAATGTGTCGGATTTTTTTACCTATTAATTATTTCGTTGCTTAGTCACTAATATCGCTCAACCTGTAGTAAAGAACATCGCGTTTTGAGCAATAACTATTTTATAAATATTTTTTTAAACAACTAGGCCTATAACATTAAAAATATATAAGCCTATATATAGGCCTACTTATCAAGACGTACGCTATGAAATGTATGCAATGTTCTCGGCATAAACTAATAAAATTTACTTTTAAAAACAACATAACTACCATATTGAACAGCCGGGTTTTTAACGAAATCATTTAAGTCTCTTAATTTTAAGTCTCTTAATCAGCATGTATATTTAATATGTGTTGTGTTGACTAATCTAATATATAAAGCTCAATTCTGTAACGCATATGTTTGTTTGTCGCTGGTTATCGATGGATTTAAGTGTTAGAAAATTATCGTGCGCATTTGTCTAAATTTATGAGTTAAAAAATTACTATTAAAAGTGTTGGGAAATCATTTTCATTTTTCAAATTAAAGTAATAATTGTCGGCATGTTCATTAAACACAAGTTTTAAAAAAATATCATCTTTTACAAAAATTCTAATTATGTCTTTATTTAGTCCTATAGCGCTTACTTCCCTTTGATAAATTAGGCAAAACACAATTACTTCCCTTTATAAAACCATTGCATTAGTTGAAAAGCATTTACTTTTTAATTACTTTGTTTTGGTGTTGGGAAAAAAATAATTACATAATTAGCGGGGATTGATCAAGTGCAAATGTTGTAGGTATTTTACGGATAAGCTTGGAGTATTATAATTGTTCATTAAATTGAAACAGGCGCGTTCGTTTAAGTGAGTGCAAAAACTATGAATAAGTTGGGGTACTATAGTCGTTTATTAAGCTAAAACAGGTGATTCCGCCCCGGGCGTTTATGTTCGCGTTAGTGTTTTCTTTGTGTTTAGTCGGGTTTGCGTTAGTGGTTGCGTTTTGATTTGGTTCGTTTTTGTTCTTTCTTTTTTCGTTTTTGTTTGTGTTTTTTTTTTTTTTGTTTGGGTTTGTATTTGTGTTTTTGGTTGGTTTTGCGTTTGGATTTGGTTTGTTTTCGTTTGCTTTTTCGTTGTTTTTTTTTTTTGGTATTGGTGTTTGTGGTTGGGTTTGTTGTTAGGTTTTTGTTTTCGTTTGCTTTTTTGTTTGTTTTTTCTTTGTGTTTGTATTGGTGTTTGTGGTTGTGGTTGGGTTTGTTGCTAGTTTTTTCGTTTGTATTTGTAATTGTGTTAGCGTTATGTTTGCGTTTTGTTGTTTTGGTTTTGGTTGGTCGTGGTTTGGGTGAGCAATGCCGGGTTTATGATGATTACTAAACACACAGGTAATGGTCTTTAACAGAAAGGTTTTTCACAGAAGCCAGAGCAGGGCCTGGCCGGGACGGCTAGTAAAGTATATAATTTGGTTTTCATTTTTCTAATAGGTATTGGTAGTCTATGTTATTTTAAATGTCGGATTTTTAGCTATTTAGTTATTTCTTTGCTTTGTTACTAATATTGTTCAACGTGTACTAAAGCACATAGCGTTTTGGCCTAACTTTTTTATAAAATATTTCGCTCAAACAAGTATAACATTTAAGTAATTAGATCTAGGCCTATAATTCACGTCTAACGGGTAGGCCTAACGACGGCTAGTTAACTTCTAAAAGGACAATTTATCAAAGTTAGGCCTATCGGGTAACTCGTGTGCAACTTAAACAGAGTTTCTTCCAGGCATCTCTTCGGGGGGGCGAAGCCCCCCCCCCCCGAAAATTTTTTACCGCCCCCCCGAACGAAATGAAATTTATATAATTTATATAGAAAATATATACTTTTAACAGTGTCCGCCCCCCCCCCCGAAGAAAGTTTACCGCCCCCCCCCGAAGATTTCAAGTGCCCCCCCCCCCGGAGAAAAAAGTCTGGAAGAAACACTGAACTTAAATCCTTTTTGGTAATCCCTTAGTTTAGCGTCGGTTATTATTCCGGAATCGTATAGCAGTAAAAAACAGTAAAACAATGCCAAAGTCTGTCACACACTTCCGGAATTCACCGGGAGTACTGTAAACCATACTTTATTTGGCGTCATCTTTTATTTTTATACAGAATGTTTAAATTTTGGATAGATTTATTTTTGTAATCATTTTTACATTTTGTAATCATTTTTACTATTTTCGTAATCTAGATTTTTTTACTTGGTCTAGCAGCTAGATATCTAGCTAGATCTAGATCTAATTAATTAATGATCGCTAATCCGCTGCAAGCCAAAAACATTAAATTATTACATTTGACTTCATTATTTATATTAATATATGTTTTTTTTTAATTTTTAGATCTACTAATTTAAATCTACTATTATATTTATTATTGTTTCCTTTAGTCGATTAAACTTAAAAAATTAAAACATTAATTTACTACAATCGACTTTCAATTTATTTATATTTCAATGGTCAAATAAACCATGGTTTACCGTAACTCTAGTTACCGAAACTCAACAAACATTACCCGATAATTTCCGACGCTAAACTAAGGGATTACCTCCTTTTTTATTATATTATACATTTTATATCTATCTATATATATAAAAAGCAATGTATGTGTGTTTGTGTGTGTGTGTGTTTGTCCTTTATGCATTACTACCTCTCTCATCACATCGCCATGAAACTTTGGGAAGTTGTTGAGAATATTCCTGGGGAGGTTTCTGCGGAAAAAAAAATTTCAAATTCGCAGGGGTGGCGCCCCGGCAGGGCGCGATTTGTTTTTCTCTATATACGGTATATAAAAATAAAAAGTCAATTTTGGTTTGACATCGTTCATCTGATAGCCATTAGACTTTGGGGAGTTCATAATAACACTCAAATGAAGGGTTCTGTAAAAAAATAATTTTTAATTTCGCAAGGGCGGCGCCACTGGAGGGTGCGATTTTCCTCTATATATGGTATATAAAAATAATAAAAGTGAATTGTGGTGACACCGTTCATCCGATAGGCATGAAACTTTGGGAAGTTGTTGAGAATATTCCTAGGGAGGTTTCTGCGAAAAGAAAATTTCAAATTCGCCGGGGTGGCGCCCCGGCAGGGCGCAATTTGTTTTTTCTTTATATACGGTATATAAAAATAAAAGTCGATTTTGTTTTGACATCGTTCATCCGATAGTCGTGAGACTTTGGGGAGTTCATTATAACACTCTAGGGAAGGGTTCTGTAAAAAAAATATTTAATTTCGCAAGGGCGGCGCCACGGGAGGGTCCGATTTTTCTCTATTTACGGTATATAAAAATAATAAAAGTGAATTGCAGTGACACCGTTTATCCGATAGGCATAAAACTTTGGGGAGTTCATTATAAAACTCTAGGGAAAGGTTCTGTAAAAATCATTTTTAATTTCGCAAGGGCGGCACCACGGGAGGCTGCGATTTTTCTCTATATACGGTTTATAAAATTTCTGTTTCGCACCGTTCATCCGTGTACCATGAAAGTTTGGGGAGATGATTAGATCACTCAATGGTAGGGTTCTGCAAAAAAATATTGTTTAATATTGCAAGGGCGGCGTCCCCGGGGTGGGGGTGGGAGCGATTTTTTTTCTCTATACACGGTTTATAAAAAATAAAACTCGGTTGCGGTTCATCCGAGTACCATGAAACTTTAGGGAGTAGATGGGAATACTTCCGAGAATATTTCTGCGAAAAAGAAAACTAAAGTTTCTTATGGGCGGCGACATATAGGGTACAACTTTCGTCAATACACGCCCAGAGTTTTAGAGCGACTATGTTGGCACTTGACATCCGTTAATCGAGCGTCCTGCATTGCGAGTAAGGAGTACTACTATATTCAGCGGTAAAACTACAACAGGCTTCTAAAAATAACTTTGTAACGCGAGGAAATCCTTCTGTACAGTTTCATCACCTTGCGAAAGATGAAAAAATAACATTTTAATATGAGGAGCCTACTGTAGAGTTTCGTCACTTTGCGAATGATGCAATAAGCATATATTATTAGACAATCCAGTCAGAAATTGAGATCGAGCATCTAATAATAGACCATTAGTAACGCTAGCATATTGCATCAGTCACACTGATACTTAAAACATGTCAAATAATTTTTTTACGTGTTAAAGAAAAAATCCTGATCATTTGTGTCACTTTAGCGAATGACGAAATTTGCATCTTTATTAACAGGATGCTATTTGGCCGATGACGCCTGTTAGTTTTAAGGAGCCAGGGGTAGTACGCCGCGCCTATGCGGTAGTGAAATCGTGGGGGGGGGGGGGGGGCATGAGAGCGCCCCTCTACGCTCTTACACAGAGGCGCTCACCGAAGTGTGTTCTACCATATTAATTAATGTACACTCAAGGTTTTAGACAAGTAGGTCACGCGTCTAAGAACATATAATTATAATTGATAAAGCGTTGGTGAAATCCTAATATATTTCGTCAAACTTTCTTCTATCCCCGCGGCAACGCGCGGGGATCTGGTACGCTAGTATATATATATATATATATATATATATATATATATATATATATATATATATATATATATATATATATATATATATATATATATATATATATATATATATATATATATATATATATATATATATTGTTTTTCTGCTTTGTTATGTCAAGTTTTTTACTATTATCCTAAGTTTAGTCCGTTTCGAAAAATCAACATTGTTTTTAAATTAACCTTGTAAACATTCAACAGGATGGCTGGCGACTCTATGGTACGGTACAATAAAATAGTCAACGACATCTTATAAGCTGTGTATGCCCTTCTGTTAAAATTTCCTAGATGAATGTTTAAGATATTTGGCTGACACAAATTCCCCTTTTGCTACTCTCAAATCAATTGCACAAATCATTTCAATTAAAAATACAACGTCTAGTAAATAGTTCTTCTAACAACCTCTAGCCGTACTACACCTATTGTCGATAACGAAAAACTGAGATCCAAACTGTTCACATTAAGTCATTAAATGATTCAATATTAGGCCTATTGTAATATTGATAGAATCCATTAGTAATATTTAGGTAAATGTAAATTTCTCTAAGTAAGCTTCGACCATTTCATTAGATAATGTTGACCAAACACCAATAATAAAATTTAGGGCTTAGGGCAATTGAATTTATTTTCAATTTAACCTACAAAAGCAGATCAATTGGTTGGTAGTTGATCCAGATTGACTGTTCTATGTCTGAAAAGTTTTTAAGTTGTTCTTTTTTTCTTTAAATGACTACTCAGAAAATACTTCGGTAATCTATCATTAATTCATTTTTGGTGCGTAAAATCGGCAGAGTAATGTGTGAAAAAGTTGCCTCATTGTTAAGGCAATGCAATAGAATTATATTGCAATATATTTGTGTCAAATATTAGAGATAACTGAATAATAAACCAAAATCGATGTCTAAATATAATATATCAATAGGCCTATAGGCCAGAAATTAGGCCAAAAAAACAGCAGTAAACATCTGCCATTTGGGTAATCTATCGTTTTGGGTACGTAAAATCGCCCGCGGCTATTAATGTACGAAAACGTTACCTCATTGTCAAGGCTTTAATAGAAGTTTATTGTCATATGTTTGTGTCAATTATAATAGATAAATGAATAATAAACCTAAATAAATGGCTAAATATATCGATATAGGCCAGAAATTAACTTTAAACAGCAGTGTCTGAGAGCAAGATTTGCTATATAAACAGCAGCCATTTGTAAAATAGAGTGGCTTCCCCCTGAATCTCGCGCTAAAAACTTATAAAAATAAAACTTAAACAAGATGGCTGCTATAGTAAAAGAGCATGGTTGCATCTGTTGGAAACATCGCTAGTCTTCATTTATTACGGTAAAGTTTTAATTCAATTGTTTAAAAACAGGTACATAAATGAAACAAGGAAACATTTTTGTATTTTAAAAAACGTAAATCCTCCTCAAAATGTGAAATAATTATTAAAATTTAAGGAGTCACCTGGTTTCACATTACAAGTCGTGGGCGATTTTACGTACCCAAAACGATAGATTACCGCCATTTGTAAGTTGTTTACATCTGCCATTTGTAAGTTAGAGTGGTTTCCCCTGAATCACTAACTATAATTTTACCAAAAAAAAAAACTTAGATGTCTGCTAAAGTAATTGAGGTTGGTTGCATCTGATGAAAACATTGCTAGTCTTTATTTTTTACTGAAAAATTGTAATAAAATTGTTTAAAAACAAGTAGGCCTACATTAATGAAATTTCAAACACTTTTTTAACTTTCAAAACATATGTCCTCCTAAAATGTGAAATAATTACTAAAATTTAAAGAGTCAACTTTTTTCACATTACTAGTCTTGGCAAATTTTACTTACCTAAAACTATAGATTACCAATACTTCTTCCCTGGTGTGGCCGGAAGAAGATGCAAAACACATTGACCTTAATAGCTGTGGATAAGGCGCAAAATATTCTTTTATAGCTGGTCAATGGGACCAAATTACCCTTTTAGCCTTATTCTTCTAAGAAAACTATAGACCTATGTACTGTGTGGTCACTGGTTGAGAGATCATAGTACAGTTATAGTATATCTAGTGAAGAGTTCTAGTCATACGTTAAGGCTAAAATATTTTTTTAAAATCTATTTTAATATCCTGTCCATTTGACCTTTAATATATTACATGTATCCAAGATTCCTCAGTTTATTTATATAAAATTTTGCTATTAATCATTTTTAGAAAGGGAGTGGCAACTGTGATGACAGAAAAGCCGGCAAACACAGGCTAGAGTTATGGTTGAATAAAAGTATGAGGATAAAAATGACTGATGGGCGCACCCTTATTGGTATTTATGTTTGTTTATATTTTTTAGACTTTTTATTCTGATTATTACTATTTCTTTAAACTCAATACTTACCTAAGCATAGCAGAATTCTAGCAGAAATGTGTGTATTAACACTACACTCATGTGTGTGTGCGTCAGACATGTGTTCTTTGTTAGGTTACATTCAAGCCCCTTTTGCAGCACCCAAATGTGACTGGTGTATAACCCCATGTCGTGCTTGTATTCGTCCACTGCTTAGGAATTTATCTGCTAGGCTGTGGACACCTCATTTGGCACTGACATATCCAACTAATATAAAGAATCACACTCTGACTGCAGGTTCGAGATTACAACACTTTATTTCTTGATGAATAATTACTCTTTTCAAAAAAACCATGAACATTAACCTATACGTCAAAAGTCTGTACACTGTGTCACTCCATACCTCACTTTCTACTGACACTGTTCTCTGCACTCAATCATACTCTGAGATGGGGCACTTAACAATACTCTTCGTTAGCGAACTCCCGTTGACAATCCTTACATCAAACACGTCAGGTTATAGTAATAGTTGCACCTATGGTGACCATAGCCTAAGCCAACCAAAAAAAAAGAAGGAAGGAAACAGTGGGTGTTGAGTAATGGCAAACATTTTATCCTGTCTATCCAATAATTTTCAATAATGTATTGAATAAAGCCTATCAGTATGATCGGTTAACTATGGTTCTCTTTATAAGAGCATACTGTCATACTTTCAATTCACATTTCTTTTAAGAGTGAAACTGGGGCAGAGCTAAACCAAAAATTTCTATTTTCTCCAGTTTTGTGAATTTAAATAAAAGAAAGTTTACAAACCAGTTTTTTGTTTCAGGTACATTCTTATGCACTGACTGTGATTGTAATATTATAATGGGCTCTTGTGAGGAATACCTGAAATCCCCAGGTAATTACTTTTTGAGTTTTAACGTGGCTACAATATTAGCTTACAGTACATTAATGTTAGAAGCATGATCAGTGATATTTTTTGCACTTCCATAATGGTAGTTGTTATAAATATAATTTAAAGAATGATTTGATTGGAAATTCTCAGATTCAGAACCAAGGGAGGACCCCAGGATCCTAGGTTTAGCCATGATTCCAGGAAAACATGTTGTGAGCATTGAAATTGATGAGTCCTTACCTGTAGATGAGAGTAAGTTATTTTATTTCCATAGAAAACTTGGAAACTGAAATATAGATCTAGTTAGCCTCTCTGATTGCTTTCTTGGTTCATTTTTAATAGTTTGTTGACACTGGACTGAATTTTGTATAACTGTTTTATTAATTTTTTATGGACACTATCAGAATGTGTAATGAGATTTTTCTTTTATTTTAAAAAAATCAAATGAAATATATAGCTCATATATTAACTCCATTTTTTTAATACTATTTATACTTGAATTGCTTATCACTTTATCTTTCTCTCATTCAGATGAATCGGACTGTCCAACTAGAAACAACAGCAATGAAACAACAAGTAGTGGATTAGATAGCAGCTTATTATCAGAGAGTGAGAGAAGTATAAGCAAAGATTCTATTGTCCAGGAACCATCATGATACAAGTTGTGTTTAGAAACTTAATTTCATTACCAGACAAAATTAGTTGTACAAACATATACAGAGTTCTCAATTTTTTTGAGATCTAATAAAGATGTTTATTATTATAATTACTTTGAAGCTAGGTTCTCTCATAGTGTATACCATTGGTTGTCCAATATTTTTGTAGATACACACGCTTCTTATCATTTAAAAATTATAGTTTGCCATAATAATGGGACAGGTGGAGCATCATCCCAAAAAAAGCTTGTTTAAGCATCACTTTTTTGGGTTTACTTAATTTAGTTTATGGTTTAGTAAACTAATAGACTTGGTATGTCTGAGATTTTCAACATACATTGATTATTATCTCTAACTTCTTTGTGTCTCTCATTTTTTTCATGCTTTGGATGATAAGCAAGTACCAGATGTTTGGTTTTTTTTGTTAATTTATTTATCATGTAGTCCATTGTAAATTATTCTGATGTGAAAATAGTTTGATTATTTGAATCTACTATATTTTAAGTTAAAAGTTAATATTGTACAAAGTGAATTATGCTTATGCTTAATTAATAAATATACATGAAAGTAAAAATGTGATTTGATTTTTTTTTTAAAAGAATAGTTTAAGGTACCTGCTAGTATTTTACTTTAAGAATATGTATTTAAAATGAAATTATGGGTAACTGATTAAAGTAGCTATTTGAAACTTACATCTCTTAAGGGTAGTAAAATGGATAAGTATTAACATTACTAGAAGTACCGGATAAGCAATTAACACACTCAAATGATAAAATGTAAACAGTTTACACATACAAATAGAAGAATTATTAAAAGATACACATCAATTTATTGTCCACAACAGACATCTTAGTATATTACATAATGATCAAACTTGTTTTCATAAACAAAATGTTAGATGCTACATCAAAACTGAGGTGAAACATCCAGCATCAAAACTAAAATAGTTACCGAGTAAAAAGTAGAACATGAAAAGATGTGAAATAATTACACTAGTCAGTGAGTTTACTGAGATGCAAACATTCTGAGGCAGCGCGTCAGAAAATATTAGCTAAAAATGTAATATAAGTATTCTTTAAGGTAAATAACGCATTTTAAAACAACTGGAAACCTCATACACAAAAAAAAACTGTTACAGTAATACTTAGTAGTGATCAATTTTTGAGACCTGTAGTAAAATAATACTTTTTTAGAAAACCAAAATTATACATAAAGATTTGAAAAACTGCTTAGTTAAAATGCTTCTTACTGATAATAAAACTAAACTCATATGACAAGACAGAAGGAATGTTAATTGAGCATCTTGAAACAAATATACATACTACGATTAAGTTCATTTTTAAAAAAAGTAATCTGACAAATAAATTAACAATTTTAAAAAATAACATGCTTTTGATTAAAATAGTTTTAAAAATGTGCATTCAAATAAAACCTAACAATGGACGGAATCTCATATAGGAATGAAAATTGTTGGTAAAGGTGGGTGTGGTGGTAGTATGTCTATTAACATAAATACCTAAAAGCTTGTTTGATTTTTATCATCATTCAAGTCATTACAAGGTGAGGTGAAACAAAGATCAGGTACTAATAAATATACATATATAAAGTGCTTTGGGAAAAAAATGGTTACAAGTAATTTGTTATTGTTTATACAGTTTTGCTTCATATCATACTTCCAATCTTTCAGTTATTTTAAGTTGCATGACTAGACATCACATTGTTATTCATGCAACATAAAAGATATTTAACCAGTTTTATACAATCAACATATCTTTTTATCATGTAAAATTAGTATTTCCATAGAACCATATCAATTAAAATCTTTTACTTTTAATTATTTTTATAACAAATTTATAGATGTGTTGAAAAACAATTTTTTTTTTACCTCTGGCCACAAAATTAAAAATCAGGCAGTATTTTTTACAAATTTTAAACAGTTTAATTTTAGACAGCAGCTAACCAAGCAACACAAAAATATAGTTTGGTCATTTTGGTTTGTGTCATTGCAAAGAGATCAGGCAGTACGGAGTGAAACAATACACCTAATTTTATTACCAAAAGCTGAAAGAAAGTGTTAACAAAACAAAGATAAATATGTACAACATTATCACAAAATTACATGTTTAACAAGTTTTCTACTTCAAAATATTTCAAATAGATCTATATCTTATAAGTAAATTCATGTTTTCAACAGTCTCAAGCTTGTGAATTACTACTGATCTATAAAAAATATATAATAAAGCCACACTGACAAAACATGTTTGAACATGAAACCAAAAGCTTTTTGTATTAAGTTAATTTGCTAACTCTAAAAGGTATAGCTTGTTAACCAACGAATGATACTACTAGGCTTTATTTATATGTTCAAATGTTATTTTTTGCTAAACATCAAATCATATCACCAGCCACATGCAACATTAATCTGGGTTTTCACTTTCATAATAACTGGTTTGATTAGCAATATGTAAAGTATTACCATTACAACATAATGTTACATTACATTTAGGCTTACTGAATACAATGTGATATGGTCTGAATTTTACTTAAGCAGCATGACTACAACAAAGCACTATATCAAGTAGGGTTGCAAAGGAGGATTTAAGATTTTAAAAATGTACAATTCTTTCAAATGCTAGAAGAATATAAATCTTTGATTTTAAAAAATAAATTAAAAACATCCTTTTTTTCTTTACTTTCATTCACACATGACCATGCTTGCTACCAACACAATATGACTGCTCTAAATAATGGAGGCAATAACGGTTGATACATTATACCACCATTTTCCTATGAGGACAATAATGTTATACCTGTCTTCATATTTTTTGTTAGAATTTTCTTAATTTGCATTATTGTTATAAAAAATAACTACATGCAAACCTTGCTTGCATCACTTATCTATCTCCATTACACATGAAAAAATTGAATATACTTCTATACAGAAATGCCAACATTTGAACAATATTTCAAGTAGTAAGAATAAGTATTGGAATGCTCTAGTGTATCTGGCCTCCACAGATCAAGAAAGATTAATGTATCTAAATAATTTCCTTTTTGACGGTATCTACTTCCTTGCTAAAAATACATTTTACAGCATAATTAAAACTGATTAATTGCAACATGTTAAATCACAGCATTTTCTTGGACTTCTAATGACCCCATTGAGGTGGTTTATCTTTGTATATGCTCTATAAAGTAATATATCTTTAATGACCAACCATTAAAATATTTTTATACATGCTATACATAAAAAAGATAAACGGTTTAAAAGGTACAGCATCAGACTTTACCTCAAAGTAAAAAAGAAAACACTTATAGACAGCATTCATTGCCCTAATTATAAAAATATGAATAATAAAAGAAGTCTATATATAATAAGTGAAAACGCAAACAGTGTTCTCTATAATAATTACCCATAATGACAAAAAAAAACTTTATTTAACTGCTTGATGAAATCCTTGTCTATCATCAAGACCCTTGAAGAGTTCCAACAAGAGTTCTCATTTGATAGTGTTCATCTGTAGCACTTCAGAATCAGGTATTTGTGTGGTCTAGACATGCTTGAGATGATGACAGGGTTGGGAGATTATAAAATTATTGCAGTTCAGACATAGAAAATTCTGACTTTGGACACACTGACCACCATGTCTCCATCAAAAAATCTTGTCTCTATAACAACGTGACCACTGAAATTTTATAAAATATATACAAAGGTAAGTTCTTGAAAAAGAATTGTAAGGATTATATTTTTACAACACAAAAATATTTAAAATTTTTAATGACTTAAGAAATGTGGATTCTGAAAAAGCACCTCAACTAGTTCATATAATACATTATATCTCCTTTGGTCAAGTGCGGAGTCGCATTATTTGTTAAACAAACCTTTAACAACAAAAAGCCCTGTTAATCCTGAATACTAATTTAAAAAACAAAACATTTATAAAAATTTACTTTAAAACATTAGCTGGCATCATCTGGCCCTCTGGAGCAGCTTCTATCAAAGACTGCCATGTGTTTGTTGATCCAGGAATCACAAACCCAAACTCAAAGAACCATTCTTAAAACATGGAAAAAAAGAAGTTAGGGGTCAGTTTAAAAAAATAACTTAAAATTGAAAAACTCTGTTAATAATAATGTATAAGTATCAATCACCAAATTTAAATAGCTTAAATGAAATTATAATTAAAATACATGGTAGTTAGAATTCACTACTTTACCTTCCAAACATTTTCCTTTAAATAAAACTCTCTGTTCTAGTCGGAATTTGTCCATTGGTTCTTTAGATGAAAAATTTATTTCCCTTGAAACAGCCCGACACTTCAAAATTTTTTTGGGCACACGAGCTGTAAATTAAAAAAAAAATTTCAAATAGTAGGGTGATAATATTGTTTTTCACATTATGATAAAAAGCTTAAAAGCTGGAGCACATTTTTTATTAAACTAATGACATTTTATAAATTATAGGCCTAATTATTTTAAATTAAGTATAACATTGTTTATTGTAAGTAATTTTGGTTAGTAATATTTGAGTACATACCTTCATGCTCTTTTTCAGGAACAGATCTTACAAAATGAAAAATTTTAAAATGTTATTGCATTATAATATGATGTTATTTAAAGTAAAATTACAAAGGGGTGAATATTATAATTGAATCTCAAGAGAACTGTAATGACTTAACTACTAGACAGCTTAATGACTAGCTGAAAAAAGTGCTTATCTGCTACTACTAGTATTAACACTTGAAGAGAATGTGGGACACCATAATATTTAAAGCCATCAAATTTACTTTCCCCAAAAAAATGCGAAAATTCATAGCTATTAAATTTACTTTCCCCAACAAAAGGTTAAGTATCTTTCAGAAGACCAACTTATCAACCAATGGGTTACATTCATTCAGGTTTCTGCATACTCTACCACAACACAAGACAGGCTGCCCTATACAGTGACCCAGAGACATGAAATATAATGGTGATGTATGCTGCATAATAAAAGCATTTATTTTACTAAGTTTAAAACAGAAAAATCTTAGCTTACAGATCATCGCTAGACTGCCAAAGTATTTTCCCACTGTCTGCATCTCGTAAGTTCATCCAGTTTCTTTCAGTATGTTAAGAAAACCATAAACTCAACTACTAAGAAACCTAAACTATTTTAAATCATAATCATATGATTGTATAACATTTGCATTTATTTAAGAAGACTATAATAATAGTAATTCAACCTGTGTTACCATTTTAATGTAAGTAAAGTGTATAAAGTCTTTAACTAATCTAATTCTTAGCCCCAAGGTCAATAGCTTTGGCCTTTTTTTTTTTTAAAGTACATAAAATAAGAAACCAAAAGATTGAACATTTGTAAATTATTAATTGTATCTAGATTATGTAGATGTAGACTATGAGACATCAATCAATGTGGGTTACTGGGTATGAATTAAACAATCACTTTACACTACACACTTGATACTAATGGTACACATCCACAATAAGAACACATAAGTGTTAACTCAGTATGGCTGTTTTGTTCTGTTTAACTTAGTTTTTAACTCAATGCAACTAGCTCGCCAGGTGGATGAGGCCATGCTGGGAGTTTGTTTTGCTAGGGATACAAGTACTACTACTAGATAGAACTTGGGATTCTACAATCTACATGATCTAGATCTAGATCTAAGTAAAACAGTGTCACTGCCAGTAGGCCACACATTAGCTAGTAGCTAGATCTAGAATAGATCTACTCAAGTACGCTTGTCTAGTCCCTAGCCCTAGAATTTCAATGGATGTGAGCGAGAAAGTATTCAAGAGGCCCATTAAATAATTTTAAAATCATGCACGGGGTAGTTACAATTATTATGGTTATAAAATCCTGTCTGTCTGGGTTTTTTTTTCAGACTTTAAGATTGGATGTAGATCTATTTGATGTTTTTAATATTTTCGGTAACTAAATAAAAATTTTAAAAAAGTAAAAACAATTTGGTTTTCACATGTAATGGCGACATAAACAATGGCATACCGCTATTCGATAGGCTGCCTTAAATTTTATTGTACACATTGTAAGCGAAAAAAAAGTATAACTAGGTCATGGGGTTTAAATTTGCATTGTCATTTAAAAAACTTTATCTGTAAAGTTTTGTAAACAAATAGTTATTGATCACGGAGTTCCTGTACAGCCAATCAATATTTAATATTTAATCAATAAATAGAAATACAGCCTTAAACTCAATTCAATAAACTGAAAACTCAACAAATTATTTTCAAGTTCTCTGGATTTGCAACTTGATAGCATTGATTCTGAAAATATAAAATTTCTGAATTAATTTTTGGCTTAAGTTTCTTATTTTTTTTATTATTATTACGGTCGCTTTGTTTGTTAAATATAAAAAAGCACGTTTTTATTCCATGTCAGCAACAATTGACAACATGAGATGATCATGATGAAGGATTCTCGTCAACTCGCTCGCCTCCAAAATGAAATATTAAAGTCCCAGTTTCAAAGGATACAATCTAAAACCTTTCATAATATCTTCTGGCTTTGATGGCATTATATTGAAATAAAAGCACAAAACCTCCTAATTAATTTCAAGCAGTAGTAGATTCTAGATCTAGAATATAAATCTAGAATCAAGTTGTGAGGTATGCGAATTTGGTTTCCACAGAATCTGTCAACAATCCAATATGGTAGATTTGTACTTCCGCTTGACGTCAATTGAGCTGGAGCTTTTTTACGGGATGAAGAATCTAGGTCTATGGCTAGCACATTAATTAATGAAGCGATCATTTCAGCTACATGTTTTTGTTAAAATTAAGTATACATCCATCAAGTTCAGTATAACAAGCAACGTATTTTTTAGTCATAAATTTGATAAATTGAGATAAAAATTACAGTGTAATAATTTTAAAATTTTAGTTGGCCTTGTTTAACCAGCGTCAAATAATCAAATTAGAATATAGAAACTGACCTGGGGCGGGGGCGGCGGACCGCACCGGGTGACACCATATAGGGGGGAGTGACACCAAGGCAAAAAAAAAGCAAAATATATAGAGAAAAATGATAATTTCACTTAATTAAACGATTAATTCGAGTGTTAAAAAGTCTTTTAAGAGCAAATTTGAGAAATCCCGACAAGGGTTGATTGGGCGGGGGGGGGGGGGGGGGGTGCAAATCAAAAGTTTGAGAGGGGGGAATGCAAATCGAAAATTGAAAGTTCAGTTATGTGGGCGAAATTTTAAACATTGGAAGATTTCCGGTGACCGTAAATAGTACGTTACGCTATTTTCTATTTCTGAAAAAAAAAAAGATAATTTCTACCGGACCGATTTCTTCAAAACTGTTTACGTAGATCTCGACTTAATTGGATGACAAAGCGATGTCGCATACAATTTGCCTGAATTAGATGTTTAATTCATTTTTTTTAACTTTAATCAATATTTCCTTTATAACGCACTAACTTCCTGCTCTATTATCGACACTTTGTTATTTACGTTAATTTGATGCGCAATTTTTTTTTTCTACAAGATTCTATTAGCCTAAAAAATGTTATATTATGCGAAAAAGTTTAGGGGAAATTACCCTCGTTATATTTGAAGTCTATGTATCTCCGTCGAAAAAGAAGTAAGACTAGTCCTGGAGGGGTCAGGGTTCATCCAACAACCGATATAGTATAGATTCTAGAGATAGATCTAGATCTAGATTCTAGATCTAGTGTTTAGAGTTTATATTTTAGATCTAGTCTACTCTTTTTGGTTGGTTTACTAAACTTGTTATTCAGTTATTCCAATAACAGTTTAAATTTAAAACTAGTTTTATCATATTTAATATTATTTAGTTAATTTTTTAATAGACTCTAGCTCTAGGTGGGGGCCTGTCACTGTAGACTACTGACTAGAGTTACAGTAGAGTAGAGTCTGTAGAGTTGTAGAGTAGAGATTACTTAACTTACTAATACTAGATCTAGTCTACTAACTTTACTAAGTATTTAACTACTAGATCTAGATCTAGTTACTAGATCTCTAGTCCGCCCCCCCCCCCTGGAAAATTTACTAATTTAGTCACCTCCCCCCCCCCCCCCTTGCTCAAAAATTTCACTTACCCGCCTCTAACTCTATCTAGAGATCTATGTTTTATTTTAAACTTTTGGGCATAACATAAAAGTTAAACCATTAGATTAGGGCTGATTAGGCTAATATTAATAATATAGCATTGTAGGGTAAAACTCCATTTTAGCGTATTTTATTCACCGCTTCTTGTTTACCTCCAGTTGAGCGTATTTTATTATAATATCATTAGGAAAACATGATTTATTTATTTGTATTGTATTTTTGTTTTAACAAATGAATAAATTAATAATTTACTTTTGTCAAAATGTGAGAAAAATCCAAATTTAGAATATTGAATGTGCTATGTTCGTGTGTCATTTAGAATTTTCATGGCAATGAGTGAAGTGTGTAAACAAGACTCACAATTGCAAGGTGGTTAAGTTTGTATTGTTACAAGTATTTCCCAAGCAAGATACTATAAATAAATATTTATGAACTTACAATGACCCCCAAACTGAGGCCAACACAATTTCAAACAGCTATTGCCCCAGCTATGATGTATGCTGATAATTAAAGTCAATGTGAACTCACGGTGAACCCGCGACTGTGTAAGGATTTTTCTCCCGCTGACGATCACTTGATATCACCTTTTCTAATTAAAAATCACATTCATAAAAAAAAGTAGATCTAGTGTTTTCCTAACGTTTTTGTGTGTTTCGGTTGTGTTTATAATAAAATACGCTCAACTGGAGGTGAACATGAAGCGGGGAATAAAATATGCTAAAATGGAGGTTTATTGCATTGTAGGCCTAACTATAAATATTAATTCAAGTATCAAAATAACTAAAGACTAAGTGACAAAGTCTTTTAAGTTAGTTTTGAGCTTAAGTATTGTATTGTACCATGTACCATTTCTTGGTTAAGGTGCTGATTGTTGTTTCTTCCTGTATAGTTACTGTAGTGTATAGCCTGCTATGGCTGGACGAGGACTGGTAGAGGCAGAATGTGGAGGACCAAACTCTCTTGTCAGACTGACTTCACATTTCATCCAAGATAGAGGACTAAAACAAGTGAGTTTGAATTACCTGCACCATATTATTTTATTTATATAGTATAGTTTATTATAGAGCGTAATAATCACTATTGGGCTATAGGCGTAATTAATATAATATATTATATGATATAGGCCCAGGGCCTATAATATATATCAATTCATGGTTTAGATATCTCAACTATAGTTCATAAAATATAATACATATTGATAGCACCAAACTAAAAACATATATGTGTTGTGTTATTTTTAGTCACTTATTGTGCTTGGGACTCTGAAATAAAAATAATTACTGTATGTTTCTTCTCTTCATTACTTCATTCCAATATTGATTGGTTTTTTTTTAAAGTATTTAACTAACAGCTTTTTTTTTCATTCATCTCATAAAAGGTTAAAGAATGTTTTTTACAACTTTTTAAAAATATAATTTTATAAAATTTGAAAGTTCATAGTTTTAAACACTGGGATACTTCAATAGTACTTTAAAATAAAAGCCTGCCCTTAACTGACTTATTTGTTTTGATAAACACAGGAAGGTTATGGAACTACAGGAAGATTACCACCACCAAAGCCGTATGAAGTGAGTTTTGTTTTTTGTAACATTGTAATTCTTCTTTTGTAGAGATGGTAATCCATCTGTAGTGTGTCATCAGTCTTTGTTTGGGGTATATTAGGTTTAAGGTTAAGGCTAGTTTTCGAATTAATAAGCTTAATGATGATGAAAGGGTTAAAGCTTTAAAAATACAATCTTTTAATTATAAGTCAAGACTGAAATTTTAAATTACATTTTTTGATTGTTATGTGTCAATTTTAAAATTATTTTTAACAGATTCACAGGCCCTTTCCTCAGTCCAGTGCAGATGAGGTATATTTTCTTTTACAGTTTAATAAAACATGTCCAAACTTATATTACATTAGAAAATGGTACTTCTTAGCAGTGTTGGGTAAAACAAAATTTAGGTCTAAACTGTTAATTCTAGATGGTTAGTGAATGCAGTAATCTTTTTAAAATTATTATTTTAGCTTGCTACAGAATTTCTCTCCAGTCACCAAACAGCAATGGCACCCCAAACATTTCACATGGGAAGTCTTTTACAAGAAATGAGAGAAATTGAAGGTGCAGAAATGATACATGCACCACAAAGAGGTAGGCCTTGTTGGTTCACAAAATACCTGGTATTTAAATTTTGAAACATTTATATATTCTTAAGAGATGATGCCCACAACACAAAAGGGATGATTTAAAACAATGCTATCGCTTTTATTTAATTTTTTTTTTGTTGCTATATAGAATATCTGGATGACATGGTTGACTTGAATGAGCTTTGATATTTTTTTCTTAGCACCTGGAATAGCAGAACTGGCATCAGCAGGGAACTGGGCAGAAGAATTTCTCCACACAACAGGCGTAAATGATAAGCTTATGGCAGGCAGCGGTGACCAGTGGGCAGCTGAATATGGTCGGCTTCGTGGTGGGGAAGAGGTCAAATGGGCACATGACTATTTGGAAAGTACTGACCATGAGAAACTTGCCAGTGAATATTTGAGCCAATTGGACACTCATACTTGGTGAGAAATTTGTTTCAAAATATCATTATATGTTAGTTCAAAAGACTTATTCATACACCAAGTTACTGTTCTTCTTTAGGATTACCAACTATACACTTTTGTAATTGGCAGTCAAATAAAATAGAGAAGTTCAAACTTGCATAAATTTGCCAAATAAACAGTGCTACTAATTTCATTATTTAAAAAGTCTAGGTTTAATAAGGAGATGGCAATTAATTCGTAATAATTAACATAATAATTCCAGGGCATCAGAGTTTGAGAAAGATTTATTAGATGACACAAAATGGGTGGATGATTTTACTAAACAAACAGATGAAACAGAGCTGAAAAATACAGCCAAAGCACTTCTGGAATCTATAGATGACCCTCAGATCACAGAGAGTGAGGTAAAAGAACTTTCAATTGTGGTTCAAAAACTTTTTTCTTTGTTTCAGTTTTATTTCTGTTTACACCTGCACAGTTGTTGTGCTGTCAGTAATAATATGTTTTTTTTTTCTTTTATTTGATCAGTTATTACAAGTCTGTCAATTAGTTTTGTTTCAGTGGGTTTTTTATGCATGGTACCAACATACCCTTTCTGACCTGACATTTCATAGTAGGGCAGATGGAGTAGAGTTCACCTGTTTCTGTGATCTTGGCATATGAATGGATAGTGTGGTCAGCACTCTGCCCAGCAGCTCTAAGAACTTTTAGGTTAGCAGTTGAGAGCTTGACCATCTGGCCAAGGCACCATCATACTAAACTAAAATAACTTAAATTAATGAGCTGCCTAAAGCAGAGTTTAAACATTTATTCATAAAAATATCAAGTTGATCTAAAAAAAAAGACTGAAGACTAACTTAAAATTAAGAACATCAATATGATCAAAAATCTGTTTTGAATCAATATAATTATGTATTGCAAGTATCTTTTGAACAGGGATCCAACATTCTTATTTCATTATTTTTCCTACAGTTCATGAAGTTTGTGAAGAAAATAGGTGATGGTGAAATCAGTATTCAAGGCAACAAAGTGATAGAGAAAACCCCAGAACAGCTGACAGATGAGTGGGTTCAAGACTTTACTTCCTCCCAGGCATCTGTAGGTTGTTTTTAATGCTTCTCCACATAACACACTCTTTTAAAAGATAAATAATTTAGCTTTTTTGACTATTAGTATTACCAATAAGTAAGCAGTTTAAAAAAAGTCTGCTTTGAAAATGTTTATTTGAATTATTGAAAAACAATTTGGTAGTTAAAAATTAAATTCTGGTCGAAATCATAGCTTTAGTTGCTCATTGTAAATACATAAAGAATACCTTTCATGTTCCATTACTAGGGTGGAAAATCTTTAACAGAAAAGTGGGAAGAAGAATTTGCTGAGTTCTCTTCGGCTGCTCAAAGCCAGTCAGACACTGAGTTCTGGGATAAGTTACAGAAGCAATGGGAAACAGTAGATGAGTAAGTTCTGGGATAAGTAACAGAAACAGTGGGAAACAGTTGATGAGTAAGTTCTGGGATAAGTTACAGAAACAGTGGGAAACAGTAGATAATTAAAGTTATGGGATAAGTTACACTTTACAGAAATGATAGGAAACAGTAGGTAAATTCTGGGATAAGTAACAGAAACAATGGGAAATAGTAGATGAGTAAGTTCTGGGATAAGTTACAGAAACCGGGGGGAAAAAGTAGCTGAGTAAGTTATGGGATACAGTAAAATAGATCATCTTTAGTAAGAAGTTTTAAAGGCTTATTAAACTCCATAGATTTTATTTAGCCATTAAAATACTCTAGCGAAACATAAATAATTAAAGCAGGTATTCAAGTTTTTCTTCACAGTTTTAGTTCCTCATTTCAGTTTTAACTTACACATGCTGTTTTGATAGTGAAATGTAGTTTTTCAATATTAAGTATAATAAGTATAAAACATACTAAGGGTTTTTTACCCCATTTTTTTCAACAAAATACACAAAAGAAATGCTACTCCTCTTTGTCCTGATAGCACTTCAAACTATTTGGTTCCTCTAGGATGTCCTTGTATTTAATGTTTTTGTTCGGATACTGCTACATATATTTTAAGTAATGATATAATTGTTTGTCTGTAGTGGTCACCCATGGTTGACTGAGTATGAATCATCAAAGGCATTTAAGGTTTGTTCCTTTCTTACTTTACCGCCATAGATACTCAGTAAAACATTATGGGTTTCTTACAAGTTACTTGACTTATAATCTATGTATAATCATAATATGTTATGTTAAGTTGTTATCTTAAATTGTAATCATTTATATAAAGCAAAGTCTTCCCATTATTATACCATAAAAACATTGTTATAAATTGTAAATATTGCTCATCAACTAATGTGAAATAGGAATATGAGTTTGACAAGGATAACTACCTGTTGGATCATGAGAATGCCTTTGAGGAGGGAAAGAAAAAACTTGAGTCAGGAGACATCCCAAATGCTGTGCTTCTGTTCGAGGCAGCAGTGCAAAAGTCCCCTACCCACATAGAGGTGAGCTCATGATTTCTTATGGTTCAATTGAAAAAAGACAGCTTGTTATATTAGACAGCTTTGATTATATTGTTGATGCAAATATTGATAACTGTTGAGGCTATTGTCTAAGGACTGTGTCACTATTCCCATAGTCTACTAGTTTTTAATTTATTGGTGGATTTCATTTGATTAAAATTTTTTTTAAATTTAAAAATCTAGTTGTTTGACAAACATTAAGTTTGCATTTGAATTTTCTGTATGCTCTGTCAATTGCTTTAATTTTCCTGTGGCTACTATTCATGTAGCCTGTATTTGTTTAAGACTTTTAAAACAAAGATACGTCAGTGGCTTTTCATTTGGGACTGAGCTCATTTTTAAGCTCACAAGAATAGTTTGATGTGTTTAAGACAGTAACATCTGCAAGGGAAGAACTGATATATCCTCTGTGTGTGAGATCTCCAACAACTCCCCAACTTAAATTGTTTACTCTGCTATATCATAGGCCTGGCAGTACCTGGGGACAACACAAGCTGAAAATGAACAGGAGATGGCAGCAATTGCAGCACTTAGAAAGTAAGAAATCTGTTGCTCCGCTGTTTTATTTTTCATTTTGATGACATCTGAATTTTATATTATTATATAAATAATTTTATTTGTATATTTAGCAGAGAAGTGATTGGTTTAAATGTTTGCTTAAATATATTCCATAAACCCAGGTTTTTGTTCTTAACTATATATATGAAAATAAAATTATAGTTTCTGTGCCAAAGAGTTGATACTTATGTGTACATGCTGACATGTTTTTCCACACACCTTTGATATTCCAGATGTATAGACCTAGACCCAGATAACCTTACAGCCTGGATGGCCCTGGCTGTCTCCTACACAAATGAATCCTTTGGCTCGCACGCCTGTCACGCCCTCAAGTCCTGGCTAGCGCGGAATCCCCAGTATTCAAATTTAATCAAAGAACCACTGTCCACACAACCCCCGGAGCTGACCTTTATGTCCAGGTATGCTCTTTTTATAACAATTCCTTTTTAAAAAATATGTATACCCTGCTGAACATCCAAAAGTATTTTAATTAATTAATTTTTATTATTTTGATTTTAACTTATAAACATACCAATTATCTATTTTCTAGAGCAAAACAAATTTAAGGTATTCAACTTGACAGTGATTAAAATATTTAATTTGTAATGCTCATGAGCAACTAACCCTTGGATATATTTGTTTACCTGACCAATCACATGTACTCGCCAGCTCTGAGCATGAAGCCATCAGAGAATTGTACCTGTCAGCAGCCAGACTCTCAGCTGAAACAACCATTGATCCAGATGTGCAAGTATTGTTACATTTTTATTTCTACTTTTTTAATTTAAACAGTAAGAAAATTCAATACATTAAATTTAGAAATTAAATACCCGAAAATTTATTTTTTAATGCTACATCTCACAGCACTACTTTTTAAGATCGTACTATACTTTTATGTTTTGTTTTAATTCTACAATTTTTATTTAGATGTATTAACACTTAAGAAATTGATTGTAACTGTAGTGTTTTTATTTCAGTGCGGCCTGGGTATTTTATTTAACCTGAGTGGGGAATATGACAAAGCTGTTGACTGTTTTGGTTTGGCGCTACAAGTGAGACCACAGGTAAAAGGAACAGAGTAGTTCTTCCATTCTTACAACCCAAATACATGAAATTCTCCTGTGTTGCTGTATAAAAAATGTGTGCAAAATGTGTACAATCATTTTGTGTTGTAATCATCATTACTTTGTAGCCCCTGGGGAGCAAAGGGCTGCAACTACACATTTCCAGCGAACTCGGTTTTGGGCTGCTCCCTTAATCTGTGCCCACTTTCCTTTTTCCCTGGGGATTCCAGTCCATAGCATGTCTTGCAATATTTTCCTTTTCTCTTCTTCACGTGTCTGATCTATCCCCATTTACGGGCCTTGATATCCTTTTCTATTGGCTGTTGCTTTAAAATTTGCCACAGGTCTTTGTTTGATTTTTTGTCTGGCCATCTTATTTTAAGTATATGTCGTAAGCATTGGTTTGTGTTGTAATATTAATATTAAAATAATCTCAACTACAAGAAATTCTTGTGTTATGATTAAACAATCCCAAAAGCCTAACATTGAGCTACATGGCTACAGTTTGATACATGTATTTGTCTGGAATAGGATGCCTTGCTCTGGAACAAGTATGGGGCAACGTTAGCCAATGGTAATAGAAGCGAGGAGGCTGTGGCAGCCTACAGGAGAGCTCTAGAGTTGGCGCCTGGTTTCATTCGGTCAAGATACAATCTGGGCATTGCCTGTGTTAACTTGCAGGCTTACAGGTCAGTCTTTTCATGTTGCTGAAACCGGGTCTAAAAAATTGTGTGCAAATGTTGTACCAAGTGGTAGATTCGTGTACTCATTTATGACTGTGCACCCTTGTATTACCTTTAAATGCATTCGTCTGTTATAAATCTATAAAGCTAAAGGTGTATCTTTACCTGAGCTTTTTTCCTCTGAGGCTTCCATTTTATTTAATTTGGACATTTTGTTTTATATATATCCTTATACAGGCTTGTATATTATATGTATTTGGGACCAATATTTTCTTTTTCTTTGTTCTATATGTCGAATGTTTAGTTCTTGTGGGGCATAAAATTTGGATGATATCTTTATGGTCTATAAACTGTGTATTTCAGGGAAGCAGTGGAACATTTTGTGTCCGCCTTAAATATGCAGCGTGAAAGCAGAGGGCCACAAGGGCAGACAACTGCCATGTCAGAGAACATCTGGGGCACGTTGAGGATGGCACTGTCACTGCTGGGCAGGACTGACCTGTACGAGGCCTGCGAAAAACATGACTTGGATCGATTAAAAGATATTTGACCCTCTTGTCATCAACAAACTACCTGTAAGAATGTGAGTGAATGTGAGAGAGAAAGGTGTGAGTGTGTGAGTGAAAGACACAGTGTGGCTCCTAGAGAGATTTGTGTGAGAGAAAGGAAAAATGAACATTGTGATAGAAGGGAGAAGGAATTTGGTAAAATAATTCAGACTAGTGAAAATAAGTTATTTAGTCTAAATGATCTCGAGAGTGAGAGATTATATGGAATTTTGAGAATGATATTTGAGTGATTTCTTTTACATTACCATGTATATGGGAGAGGGAATTACTTGTCTTATAAAGACAAATGTACAAGACAAAGAATCATCATTATTTTTACTATGTAATTGTATGAAGCTTTGACTTAAAATGCCTTAACTTTATGACTACATTACTAACATATTGGAAATTTTTACCACTTAGCATTATAAACATTAATGCTTTGACTAGACAAATATGCAAAATTAAGTAATTCAAAGACGGAAGAGTAATGCTAGCCACTACTCCACATTAGCACTGAATGGATGTTATTGTTAATACAGGTTATACTGTAGTAGTCTCTGTTCCCAAAGAATAAATGCCCATATTAGTGCAGTATAAAATACCTCACCAAATAGACTAGTAAACCTTGACCTCTGACCCAAACCTTTAACCTTTCCATTGTTCAGTTTCCCATAGCACCAAAATATCTGTCTGTTAAGACACTCTTGTACAGTCTTCCCCAACCAGCAGAGAAGTCAAGTTATTGCTTGAGGTAATGTAGTTGGCCGTGCTCTGATTGGACATTCTACTGGCTAAGTGTCTTAAGCCCTGCTTCTTGTAGCCCACCTGTCCTATGGCCTGTTTACATTGAACAGCAACTTTATTGCTAACAATCCATTTCATCATCTTAAATCTAATAACTGACCCATGCAACAGAAACTCTACTTTATCTGCCATATATAAGTCCAAAAGGGTGTCTTTACATTTACACTGCTATAAATATAATTTCTACAAAACCATCTATTTTTGAGTGTACAAAATGCTTTTCTAACCATACCTTAGTGTAAAAAGATGACTTTTTGAACCTCACCCCTACCCGATAAAGTTATGTAACATTGCCATCGCCCACCACCCCTGATACCAATAACATTTCTGTACATCTTTACCCCCATCCACCCTCATGACAAATGTGGTGCTATAGAAACTATATAAGTATTATAAGCTATGGTAATTTCATCACTTTGGGTATATTCATATACATTAGAATTTGCAAAGCCTTTTTGTGTTGTTATACATTAGACATTTAACTAGATCTTAAGTATAAAATCAAGGCCATTTATAGACAACACTAAACTACAACATCCATATGCCACATTTAGCTTGATAAACTGTCCCCTCGCATATGTGCTCTAATTCCCAGTATCTTATTTCATATTGGTACCTGGATATATTTTTAAGTTAATTAAACAGATCATTCATTTGTATAAAGTGTGTACATTATTGATTACGTGTAAATGTTTGTATTGATATTAGATTGTTTATGAGAAATACATTTGATGTAAGTAAAGTAGTCTGGCTTTTTGTTTTTCTGTCAGATATTTCTCTACCAGTAGCATACAAGAATTGATTAAACAGACATTTTGAATTGTTTAAATAGAGATCAGGTCCATAGGCAAAAACCTCATTAGATTCCATTACATCTTGATGTTCAAATATTAAAAAAAAGACATTTAATGTGAAGATTCAATGAAATTTATTGAAATCAAATTTACATGGAATGTTATAAAAAGCAACTCCAGCTTGCAAAATATTTTGAATTTAAAAAATATATTTCTCTCCCTTGAGGAATATTTGTAGTCATAACATTCACACATAACTGTAACCAAAGAGTGTTGTAAAAAAATTGGAGTATTTGACAAACATTTAGATAACAAAATGATTGACTTATGATTAATATCATTCCTAAAACATCACTATTATCACAAAGTGTACAATATCACAACTTAACAGAAGATTAAATTTAAAAAATCATTCCAGAATCACATTAACTTAAAACAGGTTAACTTAATTGATTTTTTTTATTTCAAGGAGTTTTTTTTGTTGTAACCCTTTATTGCTAACTGTGACAGTTTTGTTACAGCTGTTCCTATAGAGCTGGTAGACCAACATGGGTGGAGTAAAAAAAACTCCAAATATAGCTCAATAACAAATTGGTATACTTAAAGGTGGCTGGGCATAGCTCTGACCTAATTATCATTTCATATTTCAATAGTAATAGAAATTTCATTTAGCTATCTTGGCAGAAAAGTTTAAATGGTTAATTTGCTTTAGGGCATGTTTTGAGGTCAATGCCACATATATAGCTCAAGGGTTAAATCTTGAAATAAAATAAATTAGAAATTTAAGAAAATTATGTTGTGAAATAGAAATGGCTACTTACAGCAGTTAACAATCAACTAGTGACAAGAAGAAATGAGGTAAAAAGCACACCAGAGAGTCTCAGTCTCAACCCTATTGCAGCACAACTTGAAAAAAAAAGTTGCAGTTTTGACCAGATGAATAAAATGTGCATCTGGTTTGGTCCTAAGGTGACCACAAAGCAGAAAAAGGCACATGAAATCAGCTTTAAAAAAACCAATGAAACTAGAATTCTTCTGTAGCAAATCCACTTTTGATTTCTTGATAGCAACTACATTACATTAATTACAATGAAAAAAAAAAACACTTTTATAGAGCTTTATGATAGAATAAGCAAGTACTACCAATGATGTACCTTATCACCAAAAAAAAAAGGAACTTTTTTTCCATGCCAGAAAACAGTGAATAGTATAATTTCTCTAAAGTTTTTCATTATTTTATTAAATAGAAAAAAATAAGTTTTCCTTGAATAAAATTAGAAAAGCTACTTCTTTGTACTAGATCTATTGCATTCAAAAGATATGCATAAAACTTGGTCTACAAAACCAAGCAATAGCTACTTTCATTAACTGACACTGAATGATCAAGATGTCAGTCACTGATATTTGTGTTTTATAGTGGTTTCTTTCTTCAAGACTTTTGGTCTTACTATTAAATCTCAATGGTTGAATGTTGAACTTTCACAAAAAATAGAATAATAATAAAATATATGTTACAAAGATATAATACATTTAATAAAAAGCAAAAATGAATGTACAATTGTAGAGAGAATCAGTAGGTATCACTATATTATGATATAAATCTTGGTACTTTCCTGTTCAACTCAATACAAAGGACTTAACAATAAGAACATGTATCTAACAAAGCCCATTAAGATAAAAAACTAAATCTAACCATGTTTTAAACCCTGTCTTGATCCTCAACCTACTTAACTAAACCAGTTTTTCTAAGCTTTAGACTTAACCGGAAAGTACTGGACTATCTTTTCACTATATTTTCATTATGAATGACATCACATTTAAATGTAAAAATAATCTCACTGGAAGGAATACAAAAAAAGAAATACTTTTGTAACAAGCAGGAGTCTTGTAATTATGCACATCACTAAAGTGAATGAAGAGCCAACAGAACCAGTCAACAACTAAGGCTGACCAAGAGGGGGTGGAACATTGTAGTGAGGGGCTTGGTAGGTTGGCTCATCTCCTGGGGCTTGGTAGGCGGGAGGGGCAGATTTATCATACCCACCAGGAGGGGGTGTGTTGTCAATGTTGTCATAATGCCCATGGACAGTTTGCCCTGAACCTGAAACATACGAGTATCACCAAACAATGAACTCAAACTAAAATAATTTGTCATACAACACTAAAATATAATGAGTATAATCATAGGTTTCAAATCACCTACGGTTTAGAGCTGATTACATAATTGGTTAATATTTTAAACTAAATTAATTATCCACTTTAAGATACCTTTTATTATAATTATAATATTTACTCTATTAACACAATTTAATTAGAATACAACTCTAACTATCTAATGTAGATATGTACGTAATCCAGCAACATTCAGGTAGTAAATTCAGCTTGGACAACAGTTCCTCTTCAGCAAGGAACAGTCATATTTATTGTATTTAAGCAATGAGAAGAAATAAAGAAGAGAACAAACCTAGGCCTGGAATGCCAGTGTTGAAGTCAGTCCCTTGGGCTCGACTTTGGTAAATGCGGTAAGTAAAGAATATGGTCACAGGCTTGATGATGAGATTGGTAATGGCCATACTGGTGTTTAGGTTAAGGTTAAATCTTTTTTTTAGCAGCTGTAGCCAATCTTAGTTGATTAGTTAACATTGAAACCAATTAATCCTTAGTTACATTAATGAGTGGATATTTTAAGGTGGTGTGGGAGGAGTGAGGGTTAGACTATTAATGCAAAATTTTATGTAGAAAACTTTCTCTCCCCCCCCCCCCCCCCCCCCCCCCACCATTCTCTGTCTATCAAACAAATACTGACACAGTAACTGAAGGACAAACACATTCCACTACACAAACTGTAGAAACCTGAGCCACAAGAACAATGTCCTCATGAAATTCAGTGAAGGTGACACATGTTTAACACACAGCAGATGGCTCACATCTGTATACATGATATATGTATGGGACCTCAGGGGTTCTAAAAATCAATAATAGCCACTTGAACACAGTTTTAAGGCATACATAACACTGACATTTGCTAGTTATAGACCAGGGCTAGTTATGTACCAGGGCTAGTTATGTACCAGGGCTAGTTATGTACCAGGGCCAGGGCTAGTTATGTTCCAGGGCTAGTTATGTACCAGGGCTAGTTATGTACCAGGGCTAGTTATGTACCAGGGCTAGTTATGTACCAGGGCCAGGGCTAATTATGTACCAGGGCTAATTATGTACCAGGGCTAGTTATGTACCAGGGCTAGTTATGTACCAGGGCTAGGGCTAGTTATGTACCAGGGCTAGTTATGTACCAGGGCTAGTTATGTACCAGGGCTAGTTATGTACCAGGGCTAGTTATGTACTAGAGCTAGTTATGTACCAGAGTTAGTTATATACTAACAATCCAAACAAATTGTCTTAAAGATACCCCAGGGAGAATCTGTTATGTACCAAAACTAGTTATGTACTAGAGTTAGTAATGTACTAACAATCCAAATAAAAATAAAATTGTCTTAAGGATACCCCAATGAGAATCTGTACTCATGTAACCTGTCTGAATCTGAGAAAGATAAAAATATAATAAAGATTTTAACAACAGTCCTTTAGCTGTCAATAAATTGAAATGTTTAAGGACTTCATATTTTTAAAAAAAATTATATAATTATATTTAGCAACAGGAAATCCAAACTTATAAACCAGGAACTAGTTACAGATATTTAAGTGCCAAGATAGTTTTACTGTTTCCTCAGCACTGTATATGAGTGAATAAACAGAGTATTGAGATACTTAAGCTAGAACTCATAGTGAGTTTCTTAAAGGGTGATAACTTTTACATCCGTGTTAACAGGTCATAAGTGACCTAAGAAGTAACGATAGAGGTTGGATAAACCCCCTTCATGACGTTACGGTCTATAGAGAAATGTACAGCTACTCTTTCATATGGTCAGCTTACTACAGATACTCATCATACTACTAAGGGGGAGGAGGGGTCGGAATTTTGTGATGATGTGTGACAAGGGGGCGGGGAATTTAGAAACATTTTAAAAAGTAATTTTTGTAAACTAATTAATGTACTTGATGTTGACAGAGCTCAAAAAAGTATTCTTAGAATGAAATGGATGTTTTAAAAAACAAAAACTGCTATTATAGGGTGTAATGGGGTGTAGGCTTATGTGTGACATCCTTTTAGGGGTGGAGATCTGGCTTTTTTGTGATGATGTGTGATGATGGGGAGGAGGTTAAAATCATCCATGACATCATTTTTGGATGACATCATTTTTGGATGACATCATTTTTGGATGACCCCTAAGTGAAAGTGTCTGGTTTGATGATCATGCAGCCAGCCATTTTGTTAACTTCAGCATCAACAAAAGTGTAATTAACTCACAGCAGGTCCAAAATAAAGCTTCAAGAAGTTGCTAAACATAACATCTATAAAGCAGATGTAATCTGTCTTTCACTTAGCATAACCTAAAAAGCTTTACCTAAGGAAAAAATAGCACGTCCTCTAGGGGCATACAGTGAAATACAGATGATGTCATTCAACACACTAAAAACCAGAGTCAGCAAAAACTGAAAGAAAAAATATACACACAAGTTGTTAGTGACCAACATTTTTATAGAATCTTTGTTTGGGGGAATATCTTTTACAAGTTGGCTAGCTTTATTTAAATTATGCAGATATGGAATAAATAAGATTTTACATGGGAATAAAAATTGTATAAAGCTTATTCTGATAAAGGCCTAGAGTGGAAACAACATTTTAAAAATTACTTCGTTCTTAATTTTTTTTTTCTCAAGTAGCCTCATCACATAATTTATTACCCAGTAATAACAACAAAAAAAAACTTTGCACTGAGATTCAGAAAATCAAATTATATTTAAGTTGTATAATTATTCAAAATAAAATTCAGAAATAGATAATATGCTTAATTAGGATACCCGCTAATGAGCTTTGTAATCCTTGTTCAGTAAGAATTCTTAAAAAATGAAGTGTTTACCATAAAGACAGCCTCAACATTATCACTGGAAACTAAAGCCCAGAAGCCAAAAGCAAGGACAACCACGTGTGTATACAGGTAAGTGCTGGACATCCAAGGTGAGAGAATAGCCCTGTTTTGATAAACCAAATAAGTTCATTCATAAATATTTTATTGTAAACACTTTTCAAATAAATTTGTTGTAAAAACTTAAAAGAGGCATAGCTTGGGGAGGGCAAGTGGGGCGGCTGCCCGAGTGCCAAGTCTAAGGGGGTGCCAAACTGGGTAGGATAAAAAAAAAGCTCATTTCGAGCTGCATTCAGGAATTCGATTATTACTTTGCTCTCCTGGTTGATTTAACTGTTATCTACATCAATCTTGTGACATCATAATTAAAGCCCACCTCCACCATTTCTAAAGGGGGGAGGCCAACAAGAATAATTATATTTTTATACCAGGAAGGGGGCAGAAATTTGATAATTTGCCCCTGCACCAGAATGGGTCACTACGCCTCTGCCACTTAATCACTAACATAATGCTCCTATTTAATAACATAGTACTTTATCAGACACTAGTAAAAAAAATACTTCAAGCATATTATTATGTACTGAGTAAAAAAAAAATAATCCTAGTTTTTTAAATATTGATTACACTCTATACTTATATTTTTAAGCTGAATTCATAAAAATGTAAATATATTATGCAGTTGAATATAAGACTTGGGTTTATTTAACTTGCTCTGTATGAATTGTAGTATAAAATGTATCATTATAACAGCCTTTACATCTATATTATAATCTATACATACGTATGGCATACTACTGATTAAGATAAGCCACACTTGTAATCATATAAATACAATTGCTCAGAATCTACAACAAAACTTAATCAATCAACAAATCAAACTGCAATCTTGAAGTAATCTGATAAGATCACTAGAGTAGAACTTAAGATCTGCCGTACACTTCATTAACAAAGTCAATCATATAAGTGGGCCTAATGAGTCAAGTCAAATATATAAGTAGGCCTAATGAATCAAGCCAAACAAACATAAGTAGGCCCAACAAGTTATGCCACACAAAAAAGTAAATGAACTAGGGTTAAAAACATCACAATGTAAATTTATAAATAAATGATATTAGAAGCTCACCATGATGTCAAAACAAAATGAACCAGCCAAATGACCTGTAACAATAAATGCATTTTTTAATGAATGCTTATTTTAGTTTGTCTGTAGATCAGTTTGTTTGTAGTGTATGAAAATTAGGCAAACCTTTAAACCACTTCCATGACTTATTGCTCTTCTTTAAATAGTCCAATAGGTGTGCTGATGAAGCTAATTTAAATAGTTTTGTTTGAAGCAAATTAAACGAACTTTTTTCTCTTAAGTATTATTAAAATAAAGCATTCTGAAGAATGACTAAGTTAAAAAAGGAACTAATTCAAAATTAATAATATGAATGCAAAAAAACATGAGAATAAAACGAACATGGGAAATTATTACACATATCAAGTTTCCTTGTTCATATTCTTTTGACCCACTCGCTAGATAAGATGGTACACTATTCATAAATTTAATCTTGTTTTTATAATTGTTGTATTCATTTTTCAGTTAGAGTCTGTTGTGTGTATATGTAGTCCAGGGGAATGGATATTAATTTAAAGAGTTGAGAAATCTTTGCCAACAATTATTTAAGTTTTATGCAGCAAATTGTTTTTTCTCCGGCGCTGAAAAGTGTCGGCTTCGGCTTAGAGAAAAAGACAATACTAACAACCTAGCGACCATTGTATTTCTATCTCAACTGGCAATTTATCTAGTATATATAGAATCTAATAAAAGAATTGAGTGGGGGTGGGGGCGTATGTTTTGCCTAAGGCGCTAAATAACCTGCTGCCTGCACTGCTAATGCACAAATTCTCGGTAAAAAATAAAATGTTTAGATTTTACTGAAACTTAGAATCTAGATCGAGTCTAGAGTCCTAGATATAGAATCTTTAGATAAAGGAATTACGAGAAAATATTTTAAAATAATTCAGAATAGATAGTTACCCTCAGCATTAAACCAGGAGGATTAACAGGCATTTTTTTTTCTCAGTTCTGTATTGCCGATCTTTGAATGAACTTCTGAAACATAACAGAAAATGTATTAAACTTACTCGTCTCTGTAAATATAGTATATAAAATAAATAATCTACCCATCCCTAGATTAGATCTAGAACTAATAAATAACTAATATTAAATACGGTAATCTATCGTTTTAGGTACGTAAAATCGCCCGCAGTTAGTAATGTATGAAAATGTTACCTCATTGTCAGGGCTTTAATAGAAGTATATTGTGATATATTTGTGTCAAATATTATGGATAAATGAATAATAAACCTAAATCAATGGCTAAATATATCAATATAGGCCAGAAATTAACTTTAAACAGCAGTGTTTGCGAGCAAGATTTGCTATATAAAAAGCAGCTATTTGTAAAGTAGAGTGGCTTCGGCTGAATCTCGCCCTATAAGTTAACAAAAAAACAAAACAAGACGGCTGCTATAGTAAACGAACACGGTTGCATCTGTTTGAAACATCGCTCATCTTCATTTATTACTGAAGTTTTCATTCAATTGTTTAAAAACAGGTAGATCTACATAAATGAAACAAGTAAACATTTTTGTATTTTTCAAAACATAAATCCTCCTCAAAATGTGAAATAATTATTAAAATTTAAGGGGTCACCTTTTTTCACATTACTAGTCGCTGGCGATTTTACGTACCTAAAACGATAGATTACCATAATACTATTTATTTATAATACTAATAATATAATTATTATAATACTATAATGGTATTTATTTATAATTTTTATTTATTAATCTATTCTAATATACTGTGTTACTAACTGTTAAGTTAACTAACAGTAACAGTGTTAGGGTGTTAGTGTTTAACTAATTAACTAACTGTTAATTAAGTGTTAAACTAACTCACTGTTATTAAGTTATTAACAGTCAGAGTGTTAATGTTAAGTTATTAGGTAAAAATATTAGTAAGTAGTAACTACTAACTAAATAGTTGTATCTAGTTACTATCTAGTCTAGCTAGTGTTACTTAGGCCTACTACTTACTTAATTTAATACACTACACTACACTTATTAGATCTACACACTACACACTCCTCTTTAACTTTAAATAAAATATTAGACAAATGTCGACTTTTGTCGTTGGTCGTCTTTTTATGCCTATTTCTGTATTTCAAATTATCTTTCTAAATTACTTAGGCTAATTACTTTATTAATTAGATTCTAATTTATATCCTGAATAATATGACTAATAGTAATACTAATAGATAGATCTTTGTCTTTATCTAAATTTAATTATTAAATACTAATTTTATAGGCCAAATATTTTTTACTAGAATCTAGATCTAATGATTATGATTTTCATAGTGTATCACTGTCACATGATTTCAATGCAGGACGGATGTTTTGTAGGGTCTAGCCCGTAGTGGCGAAACGGAAGTACAAAAATTTTAGTATTGCCCGTACTGGCGAAATTATTTTTTGCTATTTAAAATATTAGATATTGATTATAGTTATAAACGTTTTTGATTTCCTCAAAATATATCATAAATACAATATGTAATTTTGTGTATTAAAAAAAAATAATCGCAGCGTAAATAGGTGTTACAAAATAATCGTCTGTGTTAATACTCGATTATTATAAGGGAAAAAAATGTCTAAAACAAGAACTGAAAAAAAAATTACTGAAACAAATAAAATTTTATATTTCTTCGTTTTTGAATTTATAAAACCTGAAATCGTCATTTAAAAACTCAGTTAAGGGCATTTTTACAAGCTTTTATTTAACTTGATTCCTCGTGCTATTTCTCTCATGCCTGAATCAGAGTTTCTTTCAGGCATCTCTTCTGGGGGGGGGGGGGGGGGGATTTAATGGATTTTATATAAAAAACATTATTTTTTTATCAGTGTCCGCTCCCCCCCCCCAGGTGAAAAAAAAAGTCTGGAAGAAACACTGGCACACTGGCCTGGTGGAAACTTTGCTAACAAAAAACAAAATTATACCCGAACCGATGGGGTTTAAACTTCAATGTCACTTAGGTTAGATCTGATAATGCAATGTGCCACGAACTTTGACATAATTAGAGGTGTTTCGTTCCTTTTTAAAATTAATTAAATATTTCTATGGCCTATATTGCACACTTACTTATAATTTAAGGCCTATATATAATAAATATAAGCCTTTTTAAAAAAAAAAGAAAAACGTAAATAGTAACAAAATGTATGCGTGCACTAAAAAGATGTATGGGACGGAGTGGTCTAGTGGTAGAGAGCTGGACTGTAAGTCTCGAGTTCGAATCCGGGTTCAAGTCAGTAGAGTTTCTGAGTCCATCCAACTCTGATGGGTACCTAGGCTAGGCATAATGCTGACCACACTATCTCTTCATAGGCCGAGGTCACAGAAACAAGTGAACTCTACTTCACTTGCCCCATAGACCGTCAGGTTTGAAAGGGAAATTTTACTTTACTTACTAAAAGATGTAGATATGAACTAAAACATAATGACAAAAAATTATTAGCTTAAACATAATATTACATAACTGCTCGTGACCAGTGTTTCTTCCAGACTTTTTTCTCCGGGGGGGCACTTGAAATCTTCGGGGGGGCGGTAAACTTTCTTCGGGGGGGGCGGACACTGTTAAAAGTATATATTTTCTATATAAATTATATAAATTTCCTTTCGTTCGGGGGGGGCGGTAAAAAAATTTTCGGGGGGGCTTTGCCCCCCCGAAGAGATGCCTGAAAGAAACTCTGCTCGTGACTATATATACACCCTTCTACCATGCATAATATACAGCTACCCATGCTCTATTTATATTATATATAGTTGGTTTATATAAAATGTGGTGCATTAATTATTGTGTTTAAAGATAGTAATTTTATTTTATTCTTTTTTAGGACAGTTGTTATATTTTTTTATCAGTATTATTCAACAAATTTAATTTATATCAGTCTCATTTTGTTGCGACCGGGCACCCAAAAACATTTCAAAGTGCAATATTTAACTTTAATTGTGTTTTTCAAGGTTTCTAATTCTAATCTAGATGGGTTAGCTGGGCCTAGTTTGAAGTCTTGAGTAGCCTCAGGGGCGTAGCGAGGGGGGGGGGGGGGGGCGGGGGGGTGCGGACCGCACCGGGTGACACCATTTAGGGGGGTGACACCAAGGCAAAAAACAGCAAAATATATAGAGAAACACTCGAGGGGGGGGGTGCAAATCGAAAACTTGAGGGGGGGGGGGGTGCAAATCGAAAACTTGAGGGGGGGTGCAAATCGAAAATTTGAAAGTTTGTCCCTGGGAAGGGTCTCTATGCCTCTGGGGGGGGTGACACCATTAAGTGCCGCACCGGGTGACACCCGACCTCGCTACGCCACTGAGTAGCCTATATGTTAAATGGCCCACTCTCCTGTCACCTGTCTATATAAAAAGGTTGGTTATTGGGCGTTTGACTGCTATCCGAAGGTCTTGAGTTTAGATCCCAGACTCAAGTACTTAGGACGTATCTGAGTTGACTCAGATCTGATGGGTACCTGACTATGTTTAATAAAGGTCATAGAACCGATCGCATTATTATTATCATTTGTTATGGGTCTTCAATGGTCACGGAAACAGGAAAACTCTTCTTTGAAGTATGCCCTACTTACTGTAATATCCGAAATGGTATTTCCACGTGCTTTATTTTTCTGTAAAATGATTATTATTGTAGTTCAAATTGGATTTCTCCGACGAAGTTTAAACATAGAAATCTTTTTATTTTTTAATAAAGGGTCATCCATAAATGACCTCATGCTCCCCCCCTACCCTCCGTCACACATCGTCACGAAAATCAAGACCACCCCTAAATGACGTCATACCTCAGTCTAACACCCCCCCCCCCCCTCCCCCTCAAAATTGCTGTAGAATTTTTCTTATAACATCGATATTTTTCCAAAATCTTGTCAGAACTAGATGTATGTCAACATAGAGTATTTTGATCAATTCTACCACACTGTTAAAAGTATATATTTTCTATATAAATTATATAAATTTCATTTCGTTCGGGGGGGGGGGGGGGGGGGCGGTAAAAAAAATTCGCCCCCCCCCCCCCCCCCCCCGAAGAGATGCCTGAAGAAACTCTGGTTAGGGTTAGGGTTCGCTTATAGTTACAATTAATCTAATCGTGTGTTAGAGGCAGCCTATACATTAGTAATATTAGTATAGATTACATATTCTAATTTAAAGTATGGGTTGGTTTTGCTTTCAACGTTGTATAAGGGGGCGTCCATAAATGACGTCACACTCGTAGAGGGGAGTGGGCCGTAATTTTGTGATGAGGGGAGGGGGGGCAGATTGTGACGTCACCTTTTTGCATTATAAAAAAGCAATTTTAGAAAACGAGTTTTAGCCGTTATTTCGTATTTTAGAAAACTGTTTTAATAAATTGTAATAGGAATTGATCAAAATACTCTATGTTGACAGAGTTCTGACAAGAATTTGGGAAAATATCGATGTTTTAAGAAAAATTCAACAGCAATTATGAAAGGGGTTGTAGGTTGAGGATTGACGTCATTTTCGGGGGTGGAGGTCTGGCTTTTTGTGACGACGTGTGGTGGAAGGGGGGGGGGGGGGGGGGGGGGTAAAAATCGTCAAAAAAAGCGTGACGTTATTTATGGATGACCCCTAAGTCGTTTAATTTCTCTTAGTTTCAGAAAACGATTGAGATAATACAGATGCATAAAAATATGCAATTTGCAATTCTCTTGAATTACGTTTACTAATACTAATGTAAATCATAGTAAATGCAAGAAATGTTTACTTCACTGTGAGATGAATGCCCTTCCCCCCTCCCACTCAGTGGCGTGCAGACCTATGTAGATGCCCGGGGCAAAATCAAGCGGAAGATGCCCCTATATATATATATATATATATATATATATATATATATATATATATATATATATATATATATATATATATATATATATATATATATATATATATCATTTATTTTAAAAAATGTACTTATCTTAATTGAGATGAAAACGTTGACTACAGCCAGCTAAATCCAAATGGAATGAATGGTTGGAACTTGGGAGAAGGGGGGGGGGGGGGAGACAATTGCGGGACGGGTCGTGGTGGGGAGGGGGGGGGGGCTGTGATGCACTACAAAAGAGTCTCATCCGGTATTGTATTACCACCCGGGACCGCAGGGACAAAAACGCTGTCCGTGTCTGCAATTAGGGCGTCAGATACGCCTTTATTAATGGGATGTTTCTCTCTTGGCCTGTTTTGGAATTCCTATAGTGTAACTAATACAGGTGAGAGTGTGCATTGAACTAGAGATGTTTCAGATTTTTCTCTCTAAACCACTTGGTCAAAACGTCAACTCTTTAAAGAGATGGGTGATGCTAGCTAGATACTCTCAAACTATCTTAATCTTGAATATAACAGAAGTGTACCTTGGTTGGCTAAGGGGTCATCCATTTACGACGTCCACACATTTTTGGGATTTTGGACCCACCCCCCCCCCCTCCTCTTCCCTGTCCACAAACGTCCACTTTTGACGGACCCCCCCCCCCCCCCCCCCCCATCCCGTGGACGTCCACACTGACTATAAGTTTTTGCATAATCTTCTTCCACTATTACTATTAAAGCTACTGCATTTAGTGTGTATATACTCTGAGTGTATATAGTGTTACAAATACTGGTACAAATGTGTTTTATTGTCCTTCGTGTCCCACACCTGAACAGGGACAGCTTGCTAACCCCCCCCCCCCCTCCACCCCTCTCCCGTCTCACAACTGAACTGGGATGACACCGCCTACCTAGAGAAGTGGTCGCCTGGGGAAACTTGTAATTGGATATCTTATTGTATTCCAGGTTAAGCCAGGGAATAGACCCAAGCTGGGTGGTTAAAGGGCCAGAGAGATAGGATAGTTGAATTTTAGCTTCGCTAGGAAATATTTTTCTTTCACACTACCAAAAATAATGTTAGATTTAATGTGTGGACGTCCACATTGGGCCAACCCCCCCTCCCCCTGTCCACACGCGTCCACAAAAGTCAATTTTTTTTCGGACCCCCCCCCCCCCCCCCCCCCCGTGTGGACGTCATAAATGGATGACCCCTAAAGCTGCCAGCTTAAAAAAACATTTCTACATCAGACTGTTTAAAAATCCACTATGTTATGTCAGACCCT